CGAGCTGCCGCCGTTGCTGCCGCCGTTGCCGCCGCCATGGCCGGTACCGGAGCCCGGTGGATGCCATTGGCGCTTTGTCTGGCTGTCACCGTGTCACCGGGACGCACCGGGGAACAGCTACATGTCTGCAAGGAGGTACCGGCACCGGGAATGGCTGGGGGAGGGGTAACCGGTAACACACCAGCACCACTACCACCACCCCCAAATTCCCCACACACACCCCGGAGATGAAACGGAATCCCGGAGCACGGGGAGGCCGCTCCCTATAGGATGGGGGGGACAAGGAGGGGACAGGTCGGGGGTCCCGGTGGCACCGGGGGTGGGGTGTCTCCTATAGCAAGGAGGGACTGGCAGATCTCCTGTGGGCTCGGGGAGGGGGCTTTGCTCCCAGGGGTTCGGCCAGTCCCCGATGGTCTCCTTGGGGACCCCAGCTGGCGTCATCCCATCATCGTCCCCAAATCCCTAGCCCTCAGACACACTGGGGTCTCTCCAAACCCTCCCTGAGTGCTGCTGGGGCGATGAGAAGGAGCGGGGGGACAATCCCAATGGCCATCTCCCGTTCCCAGCCCAGCACACGGTGGCCAAAGTATCCTGTGAGAAAAACTGTCACTCACGAAGACCTGTCCACCTTGGGGACAGTGGGTGAACCCCCCAAATGCCCTCCCTGCGTTGTCCATCTTGTCCTCCCCCCTTCCATTTTCCTCCCCCTTCCTCAGACCTGCAGCTGCTTTTAATCTGGGCCAAGATTTTTTTTATTTTTTTTTTTTTTTTCCTTCTGTGATCCAATTATTTGTGTCCATGTTCCACGATCCAGAGCTGGAACAATAGACTGGGGCTGGCACCTGCCCCAAGGGTGATCAATCCCTCAGAGGGGGTGTCCCCTGTCCTTCATTAGGGACAGCCCTTCTCCCTCCCCTGGTCAGAGCAGAGTGACAGTGTCAGTTTGGGGTGCCCTCCACCTCCAGAGCCACCCTGAGGCTGAATTAGGTCAATTTATGTAGATTTAATAAAAATCTAAAAACTTTAGGAAGAGAGAAAAAATACCCTCTCCCCAAGGGAATCCCTCGGGACTGAGAGCAATGAGATAGTTTGGAGCTGCTGAAAGTTGGGGTGACCCTCTGGGTACCCCTGGGGTGGTGGGGACCTTCCTCTGTGTCTCCATCTGAGGGCCCAGGGCGCTCCATGCTGCCTGTACCTGGGCAGGGTGTGTTGCAGGCCTCTCTCTGTCCCCACTTTTCCTTCTCCACTCCCCTTTTACCTCTCCAATCCCTCTTTCCCCTTCACACCCCCCAACCCCCTCTTCCCCCACCATTGTTGCATTTCCAGCTGACGGGAACATCAAAGCAGCTGTTTTCTTATCAACCTGCCACGCTCCAGCAGCTGCTGGGAGCATGGAGCCACAGCACAGGCTCTGACACCCCAGAGCTGCTGAGGGGAGGGTGGGGAGCTCACCTGTACCCCCAACACCACCACCAGATGTGGCCTTCACCCTGCCCATGCCATCTGTCCCTAGTGTCACCATGCCAGCCTTAAGCCAGTCCCAGCTTGGAACAGCTGGCAGGATTGGGGGGGGGTTATGTTCCCCCTGCTGTCCTCAGCACTTCCTGGTTCCCCCTAGTCCCCCCTGCTTTCCCTGCCTATGTCCGGGGTGCTCCCAGCCTGTATCCAGGTTGTGCCACATGATGATGAGCAAAGTATGTCATGGCCACAGCAAGGCACACGGAGGGATGTGACAGTGCCATGTGCTCCCAGGAACATGGAGGGGACGCAGGAGTTCACCCCCACACCAGGGAGGGGGTGCAGGGCTGTTGCTGCTCCTGGGTAACCCCAGCCAGATCATCCCCCCACCCACAGCACCCCCATTTCCCAGCATCCTCCCATACTGACCTCTGCCCCACCACAATACTCCCACACTCTGAACATCCTCCTGGCCCCCATCTCCCCTCAATCTAGAGCATCTCCCACCCAAACCACCCCCATTTCCCAGCATCCCTTCCACACTGAACTCCCCCCTACTCCAGTATTCCCCCACCCTGAGCATCCTCCCAAGCTCCCCTCACCAGGCCTTGTGCACTGCAGGACATTGTCACACCTTAACCCAAAACCATCCCTTCAAGACACAGCCGGACCCAGTGGCCAGCGGGTATCCCCTCTCAGGGAACACAGGGTGTGTGAGGGCAGCCCAGGAGGTCTCAGTGCTGCAGCTTCCCTCCATGTTCCCTCTCTGTCTCCTGCAGTCCGAGTACCACTACGAGTACACAGCATGTGACAGCTCAGGCTCACGCTGGAGGGTGGCTGTGCCACACACGCCTGGACTCTGCACTGGCCTGCCCGACCCTGTCAGGGGCACTGAGTGCTGTGAGATTCTGACCAAGATAAGGATGGGGTCAGGTTTGGGGGGTGGGAATGGCAGGGATGGGAAGTGAGGGCGAGGGGAGGGACAGAGCGGGGAGACAAGCACTGCCATTGTCAGCTCCAGGGCAGGCAGTGACAGGAGGATGGGGAAAGGGATCAGTGGGATTGGAATCCCCCTGTGATGGAATGGGATAACAGAAGAACTACAAACACTGGGATGGGATGGAATAGCAATCATACATGCAGACTCCCTGGGATGGGATGAAAGGGATGGAAATCACACACCACACCAGAATAGCATGGGATGGGAATCACATACACGAGCACTGGGATTGGATGAGATGATGGGAATCACATGCACACATGGTTAGGATGGATGGGAATCCCACATACAGTCATGTATGAAAAGGATGAGAGGAATGGGAATCACACACACACACTGGGATGGAAATCCCCTCATCCCACACATGCACCAGGACAGGATGAGCAAGATGAGAATCCCCCTCTCACACTCACTCACCAGGATGGGATGAGAGAGATGGAAATCCCATACACATACTGGGATGGGATGGGATGGGATGGGATGGGATGGGATGGGATGGGACTCCCACACACACAGGCACTAGGATGGGATAAGAGGCATGGAAATCACACACACATATGCACGAGGATGGGATGGGAATCACACACAGAGTCACCAAATTGAATGAGAGCCATGGGAGTCCCCTCACACACACTTGGATGGAAATCTCCCCATTGCACATGCAGCAGGATAGGATGAGCAAGATAAGAATTCCCCTCACACAAACTTACTCACCAGGATGGGATGAGCAGGATGGGAATCCCAAACACACACCCCCAAACCTTGGGGGTGCCCCAGCTCCATGGCAGAGGGTTACATCCTGCCTGAATTGGGCAGAGCTGGGCGTCAGTACCAAAACTCATGGGTGGAGGGGTTGCCTATGTGGAATGATCAGAATGGGGGATCTCAGCACCTCCGCCAGCTGGGCGCACTTGGAAATGCAGAGCTGAGGCTGTAGCAGTACCAGGGGGATCGGGGATGACCCTCCACGCCCTGTGCCTCTCTGTCAGGAGGCAGCAACAGCTGCTGCTGTCTCCATTGGCAGCATTCTCCTGCAAGGCGGGTGAGTTCCTGGAGATGCAGACACAGACATGCCGGCCCTGCGCTGCGGGCACCTACTCACTGGGCACTGGTGTCCGCTTCGATGAGTGGGACGAGGTGCCCCATGGCTTTGCCAACGTGGCCACCAACCTGGAGGTGGATGATGGCTTTGGTGATGCGGCAGAGAACTGCACAGCGTGAGTCACTGTGTCACTGGCTGTGATACCTGGCATGGCAGGACTGGGTGCAGGGCAAGCAAGCAGGATGGTGTGACACCCCTGTGATCCATAATGCCCGGTTTCCCCAACGCCCTTCTGTCATCCTGCCCTGGGAGGTGACACCAGCAGGGCATTACAGGGACACCCTAGTCACAGCAAGGGAACACCCAGCAGCATTACCCCTGCCAGAAGTTCCAACCCCATGAGACCCCCACATCAACATTCCTCAGAAATGGAGCACCCATGGAGATCCCCACAGCACCTATGGGGGTGTCTCCACACCCCTGTGCCAGCAGCCAGTGCCTTTATTTACCACCACAGCCCTTTGATCCTCACTGGCAACCTCTGAGCTCTTTTGGTTGTGCTGGCAGCCAGCAGACCCTCCCAGTTGTTCCACAGCCATTAAACCTCCCACCAACTGGTTGTACCAGCAGCCACCAAACCCTCCTGCTTGAACCACAGCCATCAGGGCCTCTCAGTTGTATCAGCAGCTGCCAAGCCCTCCCAATTGTTCTACAGCCACTGAACTTCCCACCAGCTGGTTGTACTAGCAGCCTCTAAACCTTCCTGAATGTACCAACAACCACTGAGACCTCATGGCTGTACCAGCAGCTACCAAATCCTCCTGGTTTTACCACAGCCTCTGAACTCTCCCAGTTGTACCAGCAGCCACCAAAGGCCCTGGTTATACCAACAACCACCAAACTATCCCAGATGTACTGGCAGCCTCTGAACCTTCCCAATTGTACCAACAACCATGAAACCCTCCTAGCTGTACCAACAACCACCAAACCCTCAGTTTTACTGGCACCACTGCACTGCACCATTGATGCCCTCTCAGCCATTCCCTACTTCCAGCAGCATGTTCCTCATCCGGCCACATTCCCAGAACAGGGGGACCCCAAGATCTCCTTGCAGTCCACATGGCTCTCAGCAGGCCAGGGGATTCTCTCCAGGGATATGTGTCTAGGCACCACACCTTGCTATGTCCCCAAGCTGTCCCCAATCCCCTGTGCCACCCATTTGTTTCCTGGGGACCCTCCCAGCTGTCCCTACAATCCCTGTCCTGCCTGCTGTGGGGTTGAGAGTGGTGACAGGATCCTCGGGGCCATGTCACTTGCCCCAGGTCAACGTGGGTGCCACTGGGGGACTACGTAGCCTCCAACACGGATGAGTGCACAGCCACCCTCATGTATGCTGTGAGCCTCAAGCAGTCGGGGACTGTCACCTTCGAGTACATCTACCCTGACAGCAGCATCGTCTTTGAATTCTTCGTGGGTGATGGGGGCAAGGGTGAAGGATGTGGGTCCCTTGGGACATGGGAGGGTCCTTGGGAGTATGGGAGGGGTATCTTGGGAGATGGAGGGGTCCATTGGGATATGGAAGGGGGTTCTAGATGGAATGAAGGGGTCCCTAGGTACATGGGAGAGGTCCCTTGTGACCTGAGTGGGTCCCTGGGGGCATGGGAGGAGTCCCTGAGGGGATCTCTGGTGATGTGATAGGGTTCTCTGGGGACATGGGGAAGGGAACCCTGGGTATATGGGAGGGGTCCCTGGGGACATCGTGGGGGTCCTTGCAGACAAGAAGGGGTCCCTGGGGATATGAGAGTGGACCCTGGCGACATAAGGGGAGCTACATGGGGACAGCAGTGGTCCATGGAGACATGAGGAGGGGTCCCCAGGAACATGGGAAGGTCCCTGGGAGCATGGGGGGTGTCCCTGGGGACATGTGGGGTCCCTGTGAATATGGGGTCGCTGACACTCTCCCTGCAGGTGCAGAACGACCAATGCCAGCCCACGACGGAGGAGTCCCGCTGGATGCGAACGACAGAAAAGGGCTGGGAATTCCACAGCGTGAGTGTTCGGTGGGAGGTGACACCGGGGGGAGGTCCCTCGGTGCTGCCCCGGCGTCTCTTTATCCCCCCGTGGGAAGAAGATTCTCCACGAGGCTGAGGAGGGGGCGTGGGTGGTGACAGGCGGGGGTGCCCCACACCCCCTCCACTGGTATCAGCTCCCTCCTCAGCAGCGGGATCCCCCACCCATGCTGCCAAACCCATCCCTGGCAGTGGGATTACCCAATCCCGTGGGATCCCTGTCTCAGGTGGAGCTGAGCCGCGGGAACAACGTGCTGTACTGGCGGACCACCGCCTTCTCCGTCTGGTCCAAGGTGCCTAAACCGGTGCTGGTGAGGAACATCGGCATTACAGGTGGGTGGGGGCAGGAAGGGGGATGTCGGGTGTCGCGCACTCCGCTCCCCGCTACCTGAGCCCCTTCCCACTCCCAGGGGTGGCCTTCACTTCGGAGTGCTTCCCCTGCAAGCCCGGCACCTTCGCCCCCGCCGCCGGCTCCAGCGCCTGCCAGCCCTGTCCCGCCGACACCTTCTCGGGCAAAGGGGCCACCGCCTGCCAGCCCTGCGACCCCGACACCTACGCCGGTGAGAGGGAACACCCGGGGCTCCCCGCTCCCAGAGCTGTCCCTTTAGTATGTGACCTTGGGAAAGGGAGGGGGAGCAGGGGTGGCCTGCCATCCCCTGCTGGGAGCAGTGTTGGGTCCCCTCACAAACCGGACACCTGTGCTGGTGAGGGGGAACACCCATAGGTGTCCCTTTGTCCCCGCTGCAGGAGTGGCCCTGGGGGTGGGAGAGATGATGTGGGGAGTAGGGAGCACCCACTGCCCCTCGGCTGGGAGGGAAGATAAGGACACCCCGCCTTGTGGGAACAGCGCTGGGGTCCCCCGGGCTGTGCTGGCTCCACCGCCGTGTCCCCCCTCGGCAGAGCCCGGCGCGGGGTCCTGCAAGCCACGCCCGCCCTGCACGGACAAGGATTTCTTCTACACCCACACGGCCTGCGACGCCGGCGGGGAGGTAACACGGGGGTATCCCGGGGAGGTCCCCCTGTCCCCTGGTTTCCCCCCAGGCTCACCCGCTCCCCCGGCAGACTCAGCTGATGTACAAGTGGGCAGAGCCCAAGATCTGCAGCGAGGAGCTGCCGCAGGCAGCCCGGCTGCCACCTTCGGGGATCAAGACCCGGTGCCCTCCCTGCAACCCTGGCTTCGCCAAAGGCAATGGCAGCACCTGCCAGCCCTGTCCCTATGGCTCCTACTCCAACGGCTCCGGTAAGGCGGCCCCGTCATTGTCCCCAAAGCGTGACTGGGGCAGCCCTGGCTCCCGGGGAAAGGTGGGTGCCACTCCAGTGCAGGGTTGTCTCCTCCTGTCCCCATGGCTCCAATAAGGACACCCCCAGCACTGTCCCCAAGGAGTAACTGGGATCCTGGGGCTGTCAGGGGAGGTGAGTGCCACCTCAGTGCAGGGTTGTCCCATCCTATCCCCATCATTGTTCCTAAGTGATGGCAGCACCCCAAGCTGACAGAGAGAGAGATGGTACCACCCTGGTGCAGGGCTGTCCCTGTATATCCAGTAAGAACATCCCAGTTACTGTCCAAGATTAACATCCAAGAAGTAACTGGGATCCCTGGAACTGGCAAGGGGAGTGCCATCTCAATACAGAGCTGTCCTCTCCTGTCTCCATCATTGTCCCCAAGAGGTGTTTACCATGGCATCCTAAGCTGAAGGGAGGGGAATGTGGTACCATTGGGCACATGCAGCTAGTGCAGGGCTGTCCCCTCTTGTCCCCATCACTGGCCTCAAGGGGTAAGCAGGGCACCTCAAGCTGACAGAGGGGGAGGTGGGTGCCACCCCTGTGCAGAGCTGTTGCCTCCTGTCCCCAGCCTGCCTGAGCTGCCCAGAGGGCACTGAGCCAGTGCTGGGCTTGGAGTACAAGTGGTGGAATGTGCTGCCCCCCAACATGGAGACCACTGTGCTCAGCGGCATCAACTTCGAGTACAAGGGCATTGCAGGTAGTGGAAGAGGGCTGTCCCTTCCCTGTCTCCTGCTGGAGGACTGCCAGGGACCCCTCTGAGCATCACTGCATCCCTGTAGGCTGGGAGGTAGCTGGGGACTACATTTACACAGCAGCTGGAGCCTCTGACAGTGACTTCATGATCCTCACACTGGTAGTCCCTGGCTTCAGGTGAGGTGGGGACCACCACCAGGGTGTCCCCAGGGAGCAGGGGGGACACAGCCATGGGACAGAGCTAGCAGTGTCCCCACGCTGTCCCCAGCCCTCCAAGCCCAGTGCTAGAGGACACAGAGAGCAGGGAAGTGGCCAGGATCACCTTTGTTTTCGAGACGCTGTGCAGTGTTGGCTGTGAACTCTACTTTATGGTGGTGAGTGGGGAGACACAGCAGTTTAGGGGGGACACAGTGAATTTGGGTGGTACCACCATTCCCTCGTCCCCACAGGGTGTCAATTCACGCACCAACACTCCGGTAGAGACATGGACAGGCTCCACAGGGAAACAATCCTACACCTACCTGGTGGAGAAGAATGCGACCATGAGCTTCACCTGGGCCTTCCAGCGCACCCCCTACCATGAGGCAGTGAGGGACAGGGGCCCTGCTTTGGGAGGGCTGGGGGGCCCCCACTTTGGGGTGGTGGGGGGCAGATGGTGATGGTGCTCTTGGTGCCAGGGCCGGCGGTTCACCAGTGATGTGGCTAAGCTGTACAGCATCAACGTCACCAACGTGCAGGGGGGGGTGGCCTCCTTCTGCCGCCGCTGTGCCCCACAGCCCACTGGATCCTGTGCCCCGTGTTCCCCTGGCAGTGCTGTGGACCTCAGCTCGGGCAGCTGCCAGCCCTGCCCACCTGGCACCTACCTGCAGAGTCAGCCCTCCGATGGGACACCCACCTGCCACCCCTGTGGCCCTGGCACACGCAGCAACCAGGTGACTGGGGGTGGGAAGGGGTCAAAGTGTCCCTAAGTGTCCCCATGGGTGATGCAAATGGGCCTGAGAGGAGTGACACCAGCCTCCCCTACACCCAGGATGTCCCAGATGGTAGCACGGGCCAGCACCAGGAGGGTGACACAATCATGGGTGGGTGACACCAGCCCCCCCCAGTCATCCTGAGTGCATGAGACTGTGTTCCCACGGAGGTGACATCAGCCTCTTACAGCTATTCTGGGTGGGTGACAGGATGGGTGACAGTGTGAGTGACAGTGCCTGACCCTGGGTGGGTGATGCCTGCCCTCCTTGGCCATCTCCAGGGAGGTGACACCAGCACCTGTGGTCATCCTGGGTGGGTGACAAGGTGGGTGACAGTGTCTTATCCTGGGTGGCTAATGCCGGTCCCCAAGCTCTGCTCAGTGAGATGCAGCCCCTCCCAACCACCCCAGATGGGTAACAGTATCTGACATTGGTGGGTGGCAGTGGGTGACCTTGGGGGGGTGCCACCATGGCCTTGCTGTCTCTGAGGGGTGGTGTTAGCTCTCCACAGTCCCCACAGGGGTGTCCCCAGTGGGTGGCATGGCCATCCCTGAGCCCCCTGTCCCTGTTCCCAGCTGCGATCGCTATGCTACAACAACTGCAGCCTGGCACTGGCACTGCCAGGCCGGATGCTGCACTTTGAGTTCCCGTCGCTGGGCATGGGTGCCGGGGTGGGCACTGGGCCCAGCTTCACCCCCAAGGGGCTGCGCTACAGCCACCACTTCCGCCTGAGCCTCTGCGGGCACCAGGTGAGACCTGTGTGGGCAAACACGCGCACACATGGGAACACACCCAGTGGTGGGCACAGACACACAAGTGCAAGCACGGGCACATGGGTGGGCACTCAGGAGAGTGGGCACACAGGGGCAGGATGCACACATGTATGGGAACACACCTGGACTCATGGGTGGGTGGTCGCAGGTACACAACTGGAAACATGAGCACACAAGGGGTGTGTGTGCGCTCACAGGCCCACAGGTGGGAATGCAAGTGGGTGGGCATGAGCACATGAGTGCAAACATGGGCACATGGGTGGGCACTCAGGAGGGTGAGCACAGGAACACAATTGGGCACATCCAGGCACACACAGGCGGTCTCAGGAACACACATGCACACATGGGCATGAGGTGGCATGATACGGGCACACACCTGGGCACATGGGTGGGACGGGGGCATAGGGATGGACAGACATGGGCACATGTGCATATGTGCTTGTAGTCACGCAAACACAAGGACATGTAGGCAAACACACATTCAGACATGCAGGTGTGCAAACACAGGTGTACATGCAGTCACACCTGCACACACATTTACACACACATATACATGCACATGCCCTTGTGCAGTCACAGGTGCACAGTCACACACACACACCTCTGCACAGTTGTGCAGACGTGTGTGAACACATGCAGACACATGTGGACACTTGTGCAGCCACACCTGCACACCTATGGCCCTGCACACACAAATGCCAGTCCCTTTTACACACATTTCCACCCCACACGTGTATCATGTGTGTCCTCACAGGGCAGGAAGATGGCTTCATGTGCTGACAATGTGACAGCAGGTCGGGGGGGCCCTGCCCGTGTAGTCATCTCTTACGTGTGCCAGGCCATTCTGGTGCCCCCTGACATCACCGGTGCCCGTGCAGCTGTGTCTTCTCAGCCCGTCAGCCTGGGTGACCACCTGCTGGGTGAGCAAGGGCGGGCGTGGGAGGGAGGGACATCCTGGGGTCACTGAGACGCATGGGCGAGACAGATACTGGAACACCTTGGTGGCACAGGGACACCCCAATGGGACTGAAATACACCCTTATGGGACTGGGACACTACAGGGGCGCCTTGTTTGGGATTGAGACATTGTCACTGGTATGCCTCAGTGGGATTGGGATGCACTGCAGAGGGACACATTGGTGGTACTGGGACACCCTAGTGGGACTGGGACACCATGGTGTGACTTGAGACACCCTGGTGGGACTGGGACACTCTGGTGGCACAAGGACACTGGGACTGGAGACACCCCTCTCTCCCCACAGGTGTCACCACCAGCTCCGTGCTGGACAGCATCGTGTCTCCCCCAGAGCTCTTTCCCCCTGGCCACCCTGACCTGCCTGACATCATCTTCTTCTTCAGGTGCAGGCAGGTGACAGGGGGGTGGCACCCACACAGTGCCCTCACTGTCCTCCTGAACCCTCCTGTCCCCTGGCAGGTCCAACGACATGACACAGCCCTGCAGTGGTGGCCGGGCCACCACCATCCGCCTGCGCTGTGATCCCCTGCTTCTCGGCACTGGCACCCTGGCTGTCCCCAGGTGGGGAGGGGACACTGGAGACCCCGAGGGGGGTTTCGGGTGACCCAAGCATTTCCTGCTGTCAGGGTAGGGCACTTCCCAGGGGTGCTTCTCTTTGGAGACACCACTGTCACAGTGTCAGTGTCCCTCACTGTGAAGTGTCACCTTGGCTGTTCCCCAGGTGGGGGGGATGGGACACTGGGGACACCGAGGGGGGCTTAGGGGACTCCCAAAGTGACCCAAACATCTCCTGCTGTCATGGGTGGGCGTGTCCCTGTGGTGCTTTGAGGACGACACTGACACGGTGTCAGAGTCCCTCACCCTGAGCTGTCATTCTGGCTGTGTCACTGGCGCCCTGCGAGTACTCAGGTTGGCAGTGAAACAAAGGAGACCCCGGGGGAAGTTTGGGGATCCCCTGTCATGAGTAGATACTTCTTTGGGATGCTTCACTTCGGGGATACCGCTGTCATGGTGTCCCGACCCTGGGGTGTCACCTTGGCTGTACTCCCCACTTTGGGGTGTCGCCGCCACCTGAGCCCTCCCTTTTTTGTCCCTCCCCAGCAAATGCCCCGAGGGCACCTGCGACGGCTGCACCTTCCATTTCCTGTGGGTGACGGCCGAGGGGTGTCCCCGCTGCTCCAGCTCCCACCACCGCCCCATCGTCGGCGCCTGTATCGGCGGCGTTCAGGTAGCGCCCCGCGTCCCGGGCTGGGCTGCGGCTCCCGCGGCCCCTGAACCCTCTCTCCCTCCCTCCAGAAAACCACTTACGTGTGGCGAGAGCCGCGGCTGTGCCACGGCGGGGACGCCCTGCCGCCGCAGGTGATCCAAGCGTGCCGGAGCGTGGATTTTTGGCTAAAAGTGGGAATTTCCACTGGGACGTGCGTGGCCGTCTTGCTGGCCGCGCTCGCCGCTTATTTCTGGAAAAAGACTCAAAAGTGAGCAATTGGCAGCGAGATTTGGGGACACGGGGGCCAGCACTGTCACGGGTGGGGTGATGGCACCGGCTGCATTCCCAGGTTGGAATACAAATATTCCAAGCTGGTGATGGACGCGGCGGCCCGGGAGAGCGAGGCGACGTCGCCCGACAGCTGCGCCATCATGGAGGGGGAAGACGCGGAGGACGAGCTGCTCTTTGCCACCGAAATGTCACTCTTTGGAAAGCTTAAAGCCCTGACGGCCAAGGTGAGGGGTGGGGTGGGGGAATGGAAACAAGCCTGGAGTAGCCACCGGACAAGCCATGGTGGGGGTGGGATATGAAGATGGTCCGTGCCTCAATTCCCCACCCCGGGGGGCTCCGGGCCTCAGTTTCCTCACTCCAAGAAAAGAAGGGCTTCGTGCCTCAGTTTTCCACCCCGGGGGGCTCCGGGCCTCAGTTTCCCCACCACAGGAGGGTTCCGGGCCTCAGTTTCCCCACCCCACAGCGGATGCCGGATGGATTCGACTCGGTCCCGCTCAAGACCTCATCCAGCAGCACCGATCGGGAGCTGTAAGAGGACGGGGGGCACCCTCGCATCCCCCAGCCTTCCCGAGAGTGGCGATGGGGCAGAGGGGCACCACGGCCGCCCCACCCCCGGGAAGCTGTGAAGGGAAGGGGGGTACCCACGGCCCAGCCCCCCGCGCCTCCACCGTGGCCTTAGGCACCCGCTTCGGACCGGAGCTTCGTTACGGCTTTTGTACGTGTGTCCCCACCCGCGGCACCCCCCGTGTCCTCCCCATCCCGAGCACCCA